TCAAGGCCCTGTGGCTTTCTGGCTGCTCTAGAGCCTCAGAACAAACCCTGGGCAAGTCCCTCGCCTGAGCCAAGCCACAGGCCTCCTAAGAGCTGCTTCACCTTTGCAATAATGTGCCTCACTGTATGTGAGAGGAAATACAAAATGTCCTTGAAACTTAGAATAACCCCAAAACAGCTGTCTATATCATTCAAATCCAGTTATGTATTATACAGTTTCTATAGAAAGTCTACACCTCCCTTTGGACTCGTTCACATTTTATTGTGTTACAGCATGGAGCCATGATGGATTTAACTGAGAGTTTTTGCCACTCATCAACACAAAGTACTCTATAATGTCAAAGTAAAAAAACATCCAGACATTTTACTAAATTAATTTAAAATAAAGAACAGAAAATAATAGAATGCATATGTATTCACCCCCTTGCTTTGACACACCTAAATTACCTCTGAAGTAACCACCTCTCTTCTCCAAGTCTTATAATTACTTGACTGGAGTCCACCTGTGTGCAGTTGAGGTGGTTCACATGATTTCAGAATAAATACACCCGTGTCTGGGAGCTTCCCCACTTAGTGCAAGGAAACACTACCCCATGAAGACCAAGGAACATACCAAGCAGATCTGAGACAAGATTCTTGAAAAATACCAGTCAGGGCAAGGATATAAGAACATTTCCAAGGCACTGAATATACCTTGAAGCACAGTGAAGTCCATCATTAAAAAGGTGAGAATATATGGAACAATTGTGAATCTGCCCAGAACTGGACTGCCAGTTGTCCGAGCAAGAAGTGCCGTAGTAAGAGAGGTCACCAAGAGGCCTACGGCTTACCGTCCTCCATGGCAGAGATGGGAGAAACTGTGCATGAGACAACAATAGCACGCACACTTCATAAATCTGGCTTGTATGGAAGGGTGGCAAGAAGAAAGCCTTTGAAAAAAACTCATATCACATCTTGGCTGGAGTTTGCCCAAAGGTGCATGAGAGACTCAACAATTTGAAGGAAGATTCTATGGTCTGATGAAACTGGCAACTGGCAGCCCACTGAAGCTCAGCAGGTGTGAGCCTGGTCAGTACCTGGATGGGAGACCTCCTGGGAAAAACTAAGGTTGCTGCTGGAAAAGCTGTTAGTGGGGCCAGCAGGAGGTGCTCACCCTGTGGTCCATGTGGGTCCTAATGCCTCAGTATAGTGACGGGGACACGATAGCGTAAAAAGTTGCCGTCCTTCGGATGAGATGTAAAACCGAGGTCCTGACTCTCTGTGGTCATTAAAAATCCCAGG